GTGGAGTGTCAAATGGGTTAGGGGCTGGGTTAGGGGGTAAGTTAGGGGGTGGGTTAGGCTTTGGGTTGGGGGTTAGGGGTGAGTTAGGGAGTGGGTTAGGGGGTGTGTTTGGGGCTTGGTGGGGGTGAGTTAGGTGGTGGGTTAGGGGTGGGTTAGTGGGTGGGTTAGGTGGTGGGTTAGGGGGTGGTTAGGGGATGGGTTAGGGGTTGGTTGAGGGGGTGGAAAAGTGGGTTTGAGGGGGTGCCGATCCGAACCGATCCCCTAACCGATCCCCTAAACGACTCCCTAACCAACCCCCTAACCGACCCCCTAACTGACCCCCTAACTGACCCGCTAACCGACTCCCTAACCGACCCCCTAACCGACCCCCTAACCAACCTCCTAACATACCCCTTGTTTTTTTTTTTGTTTATCCGGGGGAATCTGCTTACAGATACCCCGGCCCCGCGGGGGCAGAGCCGGGGTTATGTGGGACTGGGCTGAACCCTGAAGGGGAGCAGCCCGACCGCACTAAACCCCCGGAGTGTTCCTCCTCTCCGCTGTAGGTGGGGGTACGGGAACGCTGTTGCACTCGTCCGCGCCCCCACCAGCGGCTGGCCGCGCCCTGCGCAGCCCCTCCCCGAGAAGGGAGACACATCGGTCCCCCGACTCCGAATGTGAGGCTCGCCGAACACCAGACGAGCCTTCCATCCCGGGCCCCTTTATGCTGGGCAACGAACTCCCCCGAGTCCGCTACCCAGGGGACATGGGGGGCCAGGACAGCATCCACTCAACTGTCAAAATCAGTGGCTACTCCCCCAGCCCCCGCGGCGGATCTGATGGCAGGCTCCGCCGCAACACCTAACGCGCTTCCGCGCGGACTCTCCGAAGAGAGTCCCTTGGAGCGCCCACCACGGGCCAACCGCCCACGTTCGGCCGCGGAGGATAGGACGAGCGGCAACGACACACCGACACGTCTCTTCCCCCGCGGCCTCGCCGCCACTGCATCATTGAAAGCGGTGCAGCCCCGCCAGGGTCGCGGAGGATAGGACGAGCGGCAACGACACACCGACACGTCTCTCCCCCCGCGACCCTCCTCCTCGCGCATCCGCGCGGTCCCGCTGCCCAGACGAGCCCCGCGCGGAACGCCCTCCTCCTCGGGCCAGCCTACCACCATCGGCCGGCCCCATGGGATCCTCTTAGCTTCACCGTGGGATGAAATCGACCACGGCTACTAGAGCCCCCCCGCCACGACAAGGCGGGAATCCCTTCGGGGGGACCTTTTTTTTTTTTGGGACCTAACATACCCCTAACGTAACCTCTAACCCATCCCCTAACCCATATTCGTAATGACACTTTTATTCGGTAGTTTCGGTTTTAATTGTTAGTTTCCATTGTTTCTTAGAACAACTTAAAATTTAATTGCAATGAATTTAATTGCAATTAAAATCAATTCAATTGATATCAATTGCAATTGAATTGATTTTTTAATCTCATTGAATTTGTGATTGAAATTTAATTGATTAACGCCCAACACTGGTTTTATCACAGGTATGATATACATTTGCGGTTTTTGTGTTGATTTTTTAGTTTCCCGCCGGATCCTTTTTAAAGGAGAAATGGGCTGAAGCAACAGGCGTAAAAGCTGGGTACCTACTAAATGTAGCACCATTTGCTATAGGCATTTTATGACATCACATTATATTATATACATATGAATAATAACCGAAATAAATCATTTGGTTAATCAGGTAAAATACGCATTAAACTCAGAGTCGCCTTCACAATGTATAGACCACATCTAAATGTGAAAACATTTCTGAAGCTAAGTCAATTATTTTTCGTCAAGTTTTCATGAAACAAATGATTTTTTTTTTTTTTTTAATTTATTATTCAATTTACAATTAAACACATATGTACATTTAGATTTTCCTTTCAAAAACCCTTTAATGGGTTTATGCGAAAGGAATTGAGTCGCAAGAACTAAATACTAACTACTATAACTAAATACTGTATAGTGCATTCGCGTTAAGAAAATAGTGACTCATCGTTGACCGCCGACCTGGCCACGCCCCCTAGCCAATTAGAATGCTTGAAATTATTAAGTCGAGTTCACAGTGACCAGTTGAAGTCAGACCTTCGAACAAAACGGTTGTGTATCTAGCGTGTTACTCGAGCAATTTGAAAATGAATACCTCACCTATTCGAAAAAATAAAAGTGGATCAATAATCCACAGCGGAGAAAGACGCATAATTTATAATATTTACAAGTTCTTTAAACGTTGCGATTTAAACGCGACGGTGGAGTGCACAGTTATAAAAACAGCAAGTGCATGCGGTGTGTCCGAAAATACCGTTTACAAAATTATTAAAGAACAAAAGGATACAAACACATTAAAATCACCGGTGAAAAAAAGAGCTCGATTATCCATGGTCGATAAATTAGATGACCTAGACAAATGTGCAATAAGAAGAAAAGTTCATTCAATATATTTAAATAACGACTACCCGACATTGGACAAAATTATGGCACTTTGCGAAGCTGACGAAGATATTCCTGTTTTCAAACGTACCACATTACATAAAATAATGCACGAGCTTGGTTTCGATTTCAATAAACAGGATGGTAGAACATTGTTAGTCGAAAGGGAAGATATTGTTTTATGGAGGCGTAAATATCTGAGGCAAATAAAAGAATACAGAGAGGCTAATAAAACCATTTACTATCTTGACGAAACGTGGGTAAACGCTGGACATGTGAAGACAAAAGCGTGGTTGGATACAACGGTAAAAAATAAAAGGCAAGCATTTCAAGATGGCTTGTCAGCCGGTCGCAAAGCTCCGACAGGAAAAGGTAAAAGGTTGATTGTATTGCACATTGGCAGCGACAAAGGTTTCGTGGAAGATGGTCTACTACTCTTTGAATCTAAGTCTACAAAAGACTATCATGAAGAAATGGACGGTGAAAGATTCCTTAATTGGTTTATTAATATAGTAATGCCTAAATTAGAACCAGGAAGTGTGGTTATCATGGATAATGCTCCCTACCATTCGGTGAAAGCCGAAAAAATACCAACAACCATGTGGAACAAGCCGCAAATAATAGATTGGCTGCAAAGCAAAGGCGTATCCATGGACATGAGCTATTTAAAAAAGGAATTATTAATGAAAGTTGCCGAAATCGCCCCACAATATGATAAATATTTAATAGATGAGACTGCTAAAAGTAATGGCATTACAATTCTTCGTCTACCGCCTTACCATTGCAAACTCAATCCAATTGAATTAGTGTGGGCCCAAATAAAAAATTATGTTGGTGCCAATAAGTCCACGTTCAAAATGAGTGACGTTAAAAAAATATTAGACGACTCAATAGCGTTAATAGACGCTAATCGTTGGAAGAACTGCTGCGACCACGTGATACGCGAAGAAAATACCATGTGGCATTTGGATGACGTCATGGAACTCGCAGAACAAAATTCCTTCATAATAAATGTAACTGGAGAATCTAGCGATAGTGATTAGTGATTTACGTAATTTTAAGACAATTTGTTTCCATTAAACTTAATTACATTTATTTTTAAAATTTCTTGAAATTTCACTCCACTGTGAATACACCCTTAACCGGCAGTTGCACTGATGAGTCACTATTTTCTTAACGCGAATGCACTATAAGACAAAAATATTATAATTTAAACTAAAAAAATAATATAATATAAGTAAATAAAGTTATGAATTCTGCCCTTTCGATTCGCTTCTTCGCTTTCGGAAATAAGGGTCGTATTCCAGAACTCTACTCAATACTCAAGTCAGGACATGAGTATTGCAGTGAGCATTGAAAATCATACTCAAGTCCTTGCCGTTAGGGTCGTATTTCCAGTGCTTGAAATCATACTCAAGTCTGCTCAAATCCTGATTTGAGCATTGAGTAAAGTTCTGGAATACGACCTAAGTATCTTCATTTTCTTGACAAGCTCATCGACGCTATAGGTGTTGTCAAGTCCAGTCAGTTCAGAAAGAGGTAATAGTTGAACAAATATATCATATTTCAGGGAGAATAAAGATTTTTTTTTATTTTTTTTATTTAGACTCGGCAAAATGACTGCACCGCGCCTGATGGAAAGTGCGAATACAGTCCAGAGATGAGAGTAACGGATGGAAAACACAAATATCTTCACTCCGTCACTATCATTTTGCCGGTCTGGCCAAATGCTTCTTCACACTACGTTTGAAGGACCCGATGTTATAGAGGGGAGGGAATACATGCGCCGGGAGTTGGTTCCACAATTTGATGGTTCGACATAAAAACGAATTGCCAAACTTTTTAGTGCGGGACGGTATTGAACTGACCGTCCAACTGTGGCAACGCAGTCCGGCACGGGTGGTCCGCTGATGGAAAGGAGAGGAAGGGACAAGGTTGAATAACTCTTCAGAGCACTCACCGTGGTACAGGCGATAGAATACGCTAAGAGACGCTATATCTCTGCGAAGCTGTAACGACTCCGCATGCTCAGTTACATGAGGATCGTTGACAACACGGAAGGCGTAGCGCTGCAGTCCATCTAGGGCATCGAGCAAGTACTTGGCAGAGCCGTCCCAAAGGTGCGAACAGTGCTCCATGCTGCTTCGGACCTGAGCTTTATACAACAGGTATCGCAGCTCTGGAGTAAAAAATCGGTGCACCTTGTTCAGGATGCCAAGCTTGCGCGACGCGGTACAGATGACGCTCTCGATGTAATCTTTGTTGCTCATGTCCTTCCGGATGCTCATCCCCAGCAGACTGAGCTTGTAGCTGAGTTTTTATGATGACTGTGTTTTAATATTCAACCCTTCCAATTTTTTTTACCAAAAGTTTTTTTTATTCTCTATTTTCGTTGGATAATTTTTAACCAATCAAAATTATGTTATCTTAGTACTAATGTAAGATTACGTTTTCAAACGTGTGCGTGTGGCGACACCGGTTTAGATACCTACTAATGTTGATTGATGCCATTTTCAATTTCTTTCTTCCGTGATTGCAACATTTCAGTATTTTGTTCATCCTGGTTCAGCTATTCATCATCAGGTAGAGTTTTAGTAAAAATGCTATAGTATATAATAGCCAACTATTACACGTTAGATGGGCAGCTCGTTTTTCGTTACGCTAAGAACTCACGTAGCGGTTTCCACCCGCGACTTGCGATCATCTCCCTCTAAGTTTAGGATACGCTCGTAATCGCAGAGGCTTCGTGCCCGCAACCGCGGCGTCTGCGTGCCCACACACTTGTGATGTAAGTTTTGAAATAAAACCGCTACCCCGCAGCGGCGGCGGGCACCGGTGAGAAGCACTCCGTGAATTGTTAGCCTTATTATTCTTATTTTGGTACTACTCTACGAGGGCTGTGGTCCTACCTAATTGATAGTCAGAAATTATGTGGCTTATTTTAATAGTTAAAAAATATTCAATTGTTCATTTTTTACATTCCTACACTGGCACTGGTGTATTAGCGAGTTCATACTATGACTACTTATTTTATTATTTCCTTAATGGCGGCCACTAGACTTGGGCCAATGTCAGTTTTCCATTATACCTACTGGCCTAGTTCGGAATTACGTTATTTTCAAAGGTTTAGTTCGATATTCAACTGACATTTTGTTTATTTTATTTTTCTTTTATATTATTGTTATTAAATTATATTTTCGTAACTACGCTCTGCTGTTAATTGTTGGGCATTCGCTTATTATTCACGGGAATAAATAAGCGATTACTTAGAAAATATTAAATGTAATGTGGCTATTTAACTCTCCAGAGGCGCTAGCACGAGAGACGCGTAGGGAGGTTCCTGTCACGAAAATTAGGCAACCGCGTCATTTTCTGCATGTTGACAGACCACCGCAGCATTAAACAATATTTACAAGATATCAAGCCTTTGCCAATACTGGTGTTGATCTAACTAATCGACGATGAATATAAACATAGACTGCAGAAAATAGTAATTTAAGTTTATTAAACTTGCCATGAAATTAGTGAAATTTTGCCCAGATTGACATCTTCCGATTTCAAAAATTAATAGTAAAGAAACTTGCACAAGTCATGCAATCTCTTAAACTGGTCGCATTGAAGTGAAACAACGACGCCCGTCAATGGTTTCGAATTCGGGCTAACCAATCGGAGCGCAGTTGTCACCGTAATGATTTGGCATCATAGTTTTCAAACACACAAAATGACATTTCGTCTCTATTTCTGGTTATGTACTCGATGTTCCCTATTCCAAGAACTTCGTACTTCTAGATCTGCCTGTTTTGAGGCTATATTTATGATCTAATTAAGTCACTTTTCTAGAGTGTCTAAATTCAGGTACACTCCAATAACGACTTCAGGATGCTGATGGGGCTACCGTGGGTCTGCAGCATCTCGGGCATGTTTGCGCAGTCTAGGACTGATGACTTTTACGATATAATGCGCAAAAAGACTGCCTCGATGCTCTGCACGCTGTGAGCCAGTCCCAACTCCTTTCTGCTGACTGTGGAGACAAGGACTGACTCGCCTTGCATGCGCCTTTATGCCCTCATGCATAAGCAGGAATTAAGTTTTCCTGTTGTTCATTTACACGCAGATCTAACATAGGTATAAGAATTCTCTTACTAATAACCAATTTGGACCATTCTAGTCTGATATATAAATAAATAGATAAAACATATATCCTACGATTACCAAGGACGACATATATCTTTCGTTTTTTTTTTTTAATTCATCCACTGACGAGACGAGAGAGTATTTGACTATTGTCTTTAGTTTATGTTTTTTTTAGAAATAAGAAATAATTACAGACCTACGTACTATTCGTATTTTCAATAATCATTATAATATTATAGGATGGAAAAAAAGGACTGTAAGGGCCATGTAAGGGCGCATTTATTCCACAAGAATTTCATCGCGCTCTTTTATTTTTTTTCCATCCTCTAAAATCTACTGTCATGTGTGCTGTCATATAATTCATATTTCATTAGATCTTTAGTAAGGAAATAATAATAACAATAAATATCGAAGTGAATTGAAGGGAAATTATGTTATCATCAAATTGTTATTTATAAATCCCAACGGAAATAGTACAATCGTAATAAATAGTTCAAGAGATGAAGGCAACATTTAAAAAGTGAAATGTTATGATGGTCCCAATTGTACAAATTTCTGTGGATGTTCTCACTACAGTGCAGTTATCCAAGTTTTATGAAGATATTGCAGGTACGTACTTTGTCATTGCTTGAAAACGACCTTTCTTTATTGTAATAATTTTGAATTTATATGACCGTTAAGCAGTAGATTTGTTTTATGTTATCAAGCGTGGTCGAATTAGTCGGGGCAATGTATTACGTACAGCCCGTAAAAAAAGTTATTGAAGACTTCGGCTCTATAAAATACGAATACAAGCTGATGGATGACACCTACGGACCCACTCGTTATCCCGAAATGTTGGAAAGCAGAACCGCATTTACTTCTGGGCAGAGTAGTATCTATGAAATAATAACCCAACCATCCAACCTTGAAACAAGAAAAGCTTCCTATGCTGTTTTAAATGATCTGCAGGAAGTCACAGATGCTGATCATATCGAAAATTTACTTACCGTCGAAGAAACAACATCTGTGGATACATCGACAGGTAAAAAAGTACAATTATTTTCTTTTAATTGTTCTGTTATTATGTCCCACTGCTGGGCAAAGGCATCTCCGACTCGACTTCCACGCTTCCAGTTTGATGCAATGTCAGACCAGTCCCTTATACAGGGTGACAGGTTGATCGAGATAAATATTTAAAGAGGCAAAGGAGTAGCTGATATCTAATTCGAATATATAAAAATAATCGGCCCTAAACATAGGGAAAAAGAAGTCGTGCCATTTTACAAATGCTAACACTCTTCGTTTGTCTTCATTCTCTTCGGCTATGAGTGTCTTGGAGTGAAGCGTAGAGTTCCCAATTCTAAATCACTTAGAAGGCATTGATACAAGTAATAATTACTATGGCAGCTCAGCTCTAGCCCGTAATCACTTCAAGATAATACAATAGTTAATACTTGAAATTACATTATGTCTAAGTAAAATTCCTAACTTTGAACATATCTACCGCGCAACAGTTGTGGTTTGGAGCCGAGCTGCCATAGTTTTTTTTGTATGTATGACTACACCCTTTTTTTTGTGCGTGGGGAAATCCTCCTAGGATACCTCTCCGCCGCGGGGGCAGCGGGAGGTTATGTCGGACTTCTACCGGCTAAAACCCCACGGTGGTCTTCTCGGGTGCTGTAGTGGGAAGGACCCGGGATCGACTTTGCGCACCTGAACCCCTCCAGCACCTAGGAGGAGCTACGTCCTCCCCTACTCTCCTCACGACTAAGCGGGCCACACCGCCCCGTCTCCTCGCGGCTGCCTAACTTACTGGCGAACGAAGCCCCCGCTCCGATCGCCCGTAGTCGCGAAGGTACGCCGCCGCCGAGCGGGATCGGCCCTCTCCCGATCACGCTCGGCGACCTCCTTCTGAAGCATCACCGCGTCACAGAAGGAGACCACTGCCTCATGGGACTCTTGATTCGCCAACATAGCCGCTACTATGCCTGGCGGAGAGAGATCTCGCCCGATCCGGGCAACCAGGATGTTCCGCTCGGAGGCCCAAGCGGGGCACTCCTCCAGCGTGTGCTGGGCGGAATCCTGGTCCCTCCCACAGTGGTGGCACTGCGTCGTCGACTCGCGTCCGATCCGATTCAGATACTCACCGAAGCATCCGTGCCCGGTGAGTATCTGCATGACTACACCCTATATTAACAAATAATTTAATTAGACACACTAGTGACACAACTCGAGATTGCACTCTCGCATTTATGGCAAAAAGTTTTGTTTAAGAAATAATGATTATAGCGCCACACAGCCATAAACTTAGTCGAAATATTAATAAAATCTAGTATGGAAACTAGATTTTAACAGCATTTTTAATACAATTCACCAATGAAAAGTGTTTAAAACATCAACTTAAAGGCCCCAACTTATCTGTGACTGTGTGTTTCGTGTAATCTTTGACGCAATTAGGTACGTGTTCCTTTCTTTGTCTTCATCACAGATAAGTTCTGTCAACTATACTTTCATTTAAACTTTGACGGTTTTCACAAATTATTTGATTTTTGATTCGGGACTTAATCACGTATAATTGACGTGCAACTACTTTTATTTAACAAAATTAAATCTCTTATAGTTGAACAAGGATATATATATCCAAATGGACACGACGAGCACACGGTTGATGGTGCCGTGGATGAAGCCATACAATTCATCACGCATTATGTATCAAACTATGCAAAGAACTATGATAATGATATTGTAAAACCCCACGAGAATAGTGGAAAAAGAAAACAATCTGATTTTGTTAAAAGAGGTAAGGAAAAAGTGATAAAGTATCATTCACCCTCATACACCGTTCGGTTTTGCCTCGATTTTAAATTAGATCTTGCAGAGGCGTGCATATGATAAGCATCATGAGTACATGCTCTTAATTTACACTCAAGAAAAACATCACGTCACCACCACCGTCGAGTCGTCGATGAGATATCTTGGACTAGTCCTCGACAGTCGAACCCACTTTCAACCCCTGATGCCGAGGTTAATGCGAGGAACGGCTGCACTCGCTGGATTGTTACCGAACCTTGAGGGACCTAACGCTGCTTGCAGACGTCTATATGTGGGTATTGTGCGCTCTATGACCTTATATAGAGCTCCAGTGTGGGCCGCAGCCCTGAATGGCGGTAACGTGGCCCTATTGCGCAAGCCTCAAAGGGCAATAACAATCTCGCGAGGGTATCGCACAATTTCTTGCGAGGCGGCCGGCTTGCTGGCGGGGTCTCCCCCTTGGCATTTGGAGGCGAGAACACTCGCCGCAGTTTTTGTGTGGCGTGAAGAGGCGCAAATTCGGGACCACAGACCATCACTCGAGGAGGTTGAGAGCAAGAGCTCTGAGCTGCGTCAAATACTTCGTGACAAGTAGTGACAAAGACTAACGCAACCCTACGCTCTCCGAATAGTCTAGGCAGTTCGTCCAGTCTTGTCGGAGTGGCTGGGCAGGAAGCATGGCGTCCAGACGTTCCGAATGACCCAGGTGCTCTCAGGGCATAGTTGCTTCGGGAAGTACCTGTGTCGAATCGCCGGAAGGGAGCCTACTTCAACGTGTCACCACTGTGATAACTGTTTCGAAGAGACGGATGTAGCTCGGCTGGAGCGGCTAATATTAACTTCAATCACAGACGGCTTCCGGGTTGTACGATAGTTATACGTCTTGCCTTTAATAAATCTACTTGCAAATTTGCTATCAAACTTCGAAACGCCGCGAGGCCTGTTAGGCCTCAAATTCGAACGGTGGTGCGTACAGCGCAGCGTTCAAGGTTTGCTGAAGAAATCTAAGAAAGTACGCTAGTCGGTCTTTATGTATATATATGTAAACGACAAAGTGAAGAAGTCAGGAATTCTATAGAATACATACACATTCTATACAATATTCTTTAAGCGATGTATATAATAGTTAATATTGTTTTAACTATTTTACATATTGCCGGTCGTAGATTTGGCAAAGTATTAAATGATGGACAAAAAATCAAATTGGTCATTTCTGTTTGTGTTTCCGAGCTCGGAAAAAAAAAGGTCGACCTCTTCCTGTGGGATTAGGTTAAGTTTATAGGGGAAATACTGCGCCAGAAGCGCATTTGTTCGCGTTTCTAAGCTGAGTTGAAAATTATTGTAGGTACATTCCGTTTTTTTGAGTAAAAGCTAAATAAATATTTAATGCCTATTTTAAACAAACAAAGAAAAACATGTTCCTAAAAGTTTAAAGGGTTTGTTTGTTTGTTTTTTGGTTCCATTAAAGTGGAATTTAAATGTTTATAGTAAGTCAAAGAATTATTGGATTTACTTTCAGATAAACGATAATCACTTAATATAGCATTAAAACAACGTGTTATGTTTGATTTGTGTAGCGTACATATTTAGTGCATTCGTTTTCATTGCTACTATAATGCAATATTTTGTTCGAAAAAATTGGGACTTTCTTAAACAAATGCAATTTGTAATTTAACTGCCAATTCTTCTGATTACCTACTTATTTTTACAAAATGAATTATTGTAACACTTGGACGATATAAAATATTCTTCGTAATACACAAGCACTTCCTATTATCACATTGCTTTGCGCATCTACATTTACTAAATTTTTTACATTGCCTAATGTACGTTCGGCATTGTATAGAATACCTTGACCAAGTGTATATTAGAGTTGATTTCATACTTTGCCTGACTATTAGGCCATTGCCGTTAACATTGCCGATAACATGTACATTATAAATATTTGTAGTGTTCCCCATATCTTTTAGTAAAATTTCATATTCATAATTAGTATGTAGTAAGGAGTAACTGAAACCAAAACGTTTTTAATTGTTACTTTTTCTCCAGATATCAGACAAAGTAATCACACACGTGTCGAGTCAAGAAACAAAATAGCGCGTAGAATGAGTGAGGATGAGATTAAACAAAAAGTCATAGAATTATATGAAAGTAAGGAAAAGTCGTATTATTTAATGAAGTATTGGATTTATTGAGGTTAAAGTAGTTAAATTACTGAAGCAATTGAGTGTAAGGCGTTTTACGGTTAGTATGCATTTTATTTTTATCGCAGAGATATTGTGGTACCTACTGACCCATCCGTGCTTATGTATTTGTAAGTAAAAATATAACTATTTTGTTTCGATGTTATTTATTTATTGTCAAATATTCCGGAATTGTATAGGGGTTATAATCCATTCTAATGTATTATATATAACTCGGTCTATTTCTAGTTCTGATGGTACAATGGTACATGTTATAATATATTCGTTTTTATTGCACGGTTCTTCATATGCGTGGATATCTTTATTCATAATTGCGCATTTGTTACAAATCTATTGTTCAATAATCTTTTTTTCCTTACTAGAGTACCAACTGGTGAAAGATGTATATCTAACAAGAATACCTGCAGGTTTTAAAAAATATCACTTTTCAAAAGTGTACAAGGCAAGCACATTCATAAAATACTTACACAGTATACCAAGATACAATTTTAAGTTTGAAAGAATTGATAGTCAATTTAGTGCTATTGACGATAATTATGCCCAGGTAATAATTAATTTCCTACATAATTTATCATTAATTACACCCATAGAGATAGAAGATATTCGCTTTCTAGGGCATAACATACATTGTGGAACAATTGAGAGAAAAAAATTTGGATTTTTTTTACCCAAATGATAATTTATTATACTTGCACAAATTAAGGTATCAACACAATAAAGCAAGTTTATTTTCAGACTCTGATTATTTAAGCACCAAATTATCCAGTGAACATGTAGGTTAGGCGTGGGTTGAGGGAGTGACCACACTTTAACGCGCAATTGGGTTCAGTCGGTCAAAAAAACCTTATATAAAAATAAATTAAAAGGCTTTTCAAACTGGCTTGGTCAGCGCATACCGACGAACGGGAAGGCAGAGGATATTAAATTTATCAATTTCAATTACAATTTTCAATGATTTTATGCTATTTCAATTACAATTTTCAATGATCTGGACCACCGAGTATACAACCAGAAATAGAGACGAAATATTCCAATGATAATCCATCCCTGGCAATTCATCAGGCAAAGGGGTCTTATATATCTTTTAAGTATCAACTCTCGTTTGCACTGAAATCACAAATTAGAAAGCTGAAATAGTACAGCGCCAACAACTGACCTGTGTTTACGCCTCCGTATATTCCAAAAATATTCTGTATTTATTGTAATAAAGATAATATATCTAACTATGGGGGGCTGTTCCATTCGGTGGTGTGGGAAAAGCAGCAAAACGTCTAATTACAAAATAAACGGAACGACATTTCGTCGGTAATTTAATATTAAATATGTAATTTTTCAATTTTCGTCCATTATAGCAAGGCTTTAGTTAAACTGGTCGATTTGATGTGAAACAATTGACGACTCCCGTCAATTGTTTCGACTTCGGGCTGGCCAATCGGAGCGCAGTCGTCACTGTAATGATTTGGCAGAATAGTTTTCAAACAAATTAAATGACATTTCGTCTCTATTTCTGGTTATATACTCGATGTCTGGGATTGACCAAGCACTATCGAATTTCTCCCTATGATATTGAAGAGCGCACTGGTGAATGCCGGAGTTGGAGACGCCTGTATGTGACGGAACCAGAGTAGTGGCAAACGGGAGTGACCGGACGCTCGCGATGTCGAAAGGGATATTCTTCATCAGTATGCGCAGGCCTATATAGGCCTTTTAAATACTTTCACTAATCGTCTGCCGGTTTGTGCTGGCCGTGGCCCTTATTGCGATTTCCTGTCGACACTTGTGATGCCTCCCTAATAAGGCGACCATCATGACAAATTCTGTTTTTGAAAGTATAAAATATCTTTGTTTTAATTTTGAAGATTGCAATAATATGTATAAGGTTATTTTGTGTTTTTTTTTCAGGGTGTAATTTTGATGGGCATTGTATGGTCATGTTTCGGCATCGTATTCAGTTTGACGTGCATTCATACATGCTTCAGACTCAGGGCAATCAAATTGACGCGCAAAACCTTCAAAAGATACAGGGTATTATTATTGTTATTATTAATATAGAAAATATTTTCACATTTTAAGACCAAACATAAATGAAGAGCAAACTTGGAAACTCAGGAGGGCTGATATTTTATTATTTTGAATAAAGATAAACAGGCAAGTGTGTCAGTGTGAGTGGGTAGTAGATACTGCGAGTGCGCTCTGCAGGGCTAGCACGATAAGACACGATTTACGCGAGAGCGACATAAAGATGTATGTGAGAATAGCTGCCCCCTGTCGTGCTAGTTCTACTCTACAAACGTAATAAGCCAGTAGTGTAACTACTCCCTATTCAGCGCGTCAATAGCGGGCTTTACACAGACACTCTATCGCGTGTGATACAGCAATCGATTCGATTGAGCGCGCGTGTAAAGACGTTGGAAGGATTGCGCTCATCAGTCGCGCGCGCAATCACGCACTCCAACAGCGCCAGAGTCACGCGATCTGTCCTGCGTTATTAGTCTTTACACGGACGATCTTGCCTTTGTAACAAAAACGAACACGAGCAATCGCCCGCGAAAAAGCGTTAGCTTAAGAAATTTGAATTTCATTTCTGGACGCTCTTGACTTTTGAGGTCTGTTTTTTTATAAAAAAAACTTATAATTCTGTTTCTGTACTCTAACCAGTCATAATTTCAGTCTAACGGCGCTCATTTCAGTAATTAAGAGTCGATACTACATCAGCTCGGTTTCAAAATTTTCCCATACTGAATCAAAACTATTGCTCGACTTTATTTCAGAATTTAATTTATCGTACTAGTTTACTAGACAATTTAGTTCAGTTACGTACGCCACCATTGAAACTACGCAATACAAGGCTGCCTTTTATTGTCGAATGAAGGATTACAGAAAATACAATATTAATAGATACCCACATATATACCAATAACATTTGCAAACAAAACTCCACCCATGTCCTAACATTGCCACCACATACATCTCACAGGATGCAACTTGTCGATCTAACATTCCATGGTCCTTTCAAAACAGCGTACAACAAAGAATGTGAAATATATATGACAAACAATCCTGGGGCCAAACGTACAACGTATGATGTTGTGGGGCTATATACAAAAGTATTTAATCGGACAACAACTTTGGAAAAGGCTATAAGTGGATTCAAAGCTGCTGGTAGCAGCCCCATGGACAAAGAAAAATTCAGAACTACTTTTGAAAGTTTTGGTGATATCCCTATACTGCAACAGAATCAAAACCACCCAAGAGCCTTAATGACATATGCAGATGAACCCCGAAATGCAACAAATTTCTATTTCAAATAAACAGCCACAGGAACAGAACAACTCTTTGCCAATAGATGAATCTCAAAACAGACTAGAAAGTCCTAGCATTCTCGAGCAATTTGATGTCATCAGTCAGAAAATCGAGAATCGAATAGATTTAGTAGCACATAAAACATTGTTGATGAAAATAAACAGCACACCAGCCATTGTGACAACACTCAAGCTGTAGGTTCAATTGAGAGACCAGAAACACAGACAGTACCTTTGACCAATATTGTAAAGGTACCTACGATACATCTTTTCGAAATAAAAAGAAACGAGTTATTAGGAAGAAACATTCTGTTCATTGTAATGTAATGTTCTGTCAGTTTAACAATCATACCAGAAAAACCAGAGTTGGTAAAGAAGCAACAAAAGAAAATTTAGAAGAAAAGTTCGTTTGAAAAAATAATCCAAAGATAGGAAATAAAAGAATTAAGACTGAAACACAGAAAAATAAAAGAAACGTTAAGAAAGGGGTTAAGAATCTTAAAGATTTTAAAGAAGTTGAGAAAGAAGAAGAATATTTCTGTTTGTTTTGTTCTGAGTAGTACTTTTCACCCCCCGTAGAAGATTATGGTTATGGAGTAAGGAATCACAGGGGGCAAACGCTAGTCAACTTCCTCGAGCACGAGGGGCTCTTCTTGATGAATTCGTTCTTCAAGAAGAAGCCTCAAAGGAAGTGGACTTGGCGAAGCCCCGACGCTGTGACTAAAAATGAGATCGATTTCATCCTGACGGACAAGAGACACATATTCAGAGATGTCTCAGTGATCAACAGGTTTAGCACCGGATCTGATCACCGACTTGTACGAGGCTCTCTGATGTCAAACTTGAAAGAAGCCGCTTGATGAAGTCCACGCTCCGTCCTAATCCACTCCAGATCATGGCGGGCTCCGAGAAGTTCCATGAACTTCTCGAAGCGAGATTCGTCGAGCTGAAACCCACCGAGGACGTTGACGAGGCCCTACAAAGCGTGGTTGGGACGCTGAGAAGCGAGGGCATCAAATTCTGTCAATTGCAGCGTACGGGAAAGAAGTCTAAACTCTCGGATGAGACTCTGCGACTTATGACGAAAAGACGCGATGACATCCAGGCCACTTCGTCAGAGAGGTCATACCTAAACAAGCAGATTGCGAAGATGGTACGGCGTGACCTTCGGAGCTCCAATACACGCCTCATTGAGGAGGCGATAGAGCGAAACCAAGGGTCCAAAGTATTCACTCAGCAGCTTGGAAGGAGCCACCTGACGAAGCTTACAACGCACGATGGCCTAACCGTTACGTCAAAACCGCAGATACTCGCCGAGATAGAGGATTTCTATGGCCGTTTGTACGCTGTAAATGCTCCTCGGGTCCAGCGTGACAATCACGATTTGAGAGCCACCTTGACGCGCCACTATACCGACGACCTGCCAGAAATCAGTCAAGACGAGATCGTGTTGGCTCTAAAACAGCTTAAAAATGGAAAAGCCCCCGGTGAAGACGGAGTTACTTCGGAGCTTTTGAAGTCTGGAGGAGTTCCTATTATCCAGGAACTTCAGAAGCTCTTTAACTTGGTCATTCACTGCGGGAGAACTCCACGGGCGTGGAACAGGAGTATTGTAGTTCTCTTCTTTAAAAAGGGAGCTAAAACTCTACTGAAAAACTACCGACCCATCTCACTCCTGAGTCACGTCTACAAGCTGTTTTCTAGAGTCATCACGAATCGCCTCGCAAGAAGACTCGACGAGTTTCAGCCACCGGAACAGGCCGGGTTTCGGGGAGGATATGGCACCATAGACCACATACACACAGTGAGGCAGATTATACAGAAGTCCGAAGAGTATAATCGGCCTCTGTGTTTAGCTTTCGTGGACTATGAGAAGGCCTTTGACTCTGTCGAAACCTGGGCTGTCCTGGAATCCTTACAGCGGTGCCAAGTGGACTATCGTTATATACAAGTGTTGAGATGTCTTTACGATGCTGCTACCATGAGTGTCCAAGTACAGGACCAGCAGTCTGAACCTATCCAATTACGCAGAGGGGTGAGACAGGGGGATGTCATATCCCCGAAACTGTTCACCGCGGCATTGGAGGATATGTTTAAGACGCTGGACTGGAAAAGGATGGGCATTAACATAAACGGCGAGTACATCTCACACTTGCGATTTGCAGATGACATAGTCCTAATGGCAGAATCGCTGGAGGAACTGGATCAGATGCTGAACAGCCTAGCATCCGCCTCGCGGCGGATTGGTCTCGGCATGAACTTTGATAAAACCAAAGTCATGATCAATGACCACATTGATCCGAGACCCATCTGCGTCAATGGCCACCTTCTTGAAGTTGTTTCCGAATACACTTACCTCGGGCAGATTCTGCAGTTAGGTAGAAATAACTTCGAGAAGGAGGCCAGGAGGAGGATTCAGCTTGGCTGGGCAGCGTTTGGGAAGCTACGTCGAGTCTTTTCGTCACCCATCCCGCAGAGCTTAAAAACAAAGGTTTTCAACCAGTGCGTCCTACCAGTTCTAACGTACGGAGCTGAGTCGTGGACACTCACGATACGGCTAGTCCACCAGTTTAAAGTCGCTCAGCGAGCTATGGAACGAGCTATGCTCGGAGTTTCTCTGAAAGATAAACTCCGTAATGAGGTTATCAGACAGAGAACCAAAGTGATCGACATAGCTCTTCGGATAAGCAAGCTGAAGTGGCAGTGGGCTGGACATATCTGCCGAAGAACCGACAACCGCTGGGGTAAACGAGTTCTTGAGTGGAGACCACGACTTGGCAAACGTAGTGTGGGACGCCCTCCATCCAGATGGAGTGACGATCTGCGGAAGATTGCTGGCAGGAAATGGATGCGTCAAGCCGAGAACAGGGCGAAATGGCGTGCATTAGGGGAGGCCTATGTCCAGCAGTGGACTGCAATAGGCTGATGATGATGAGAAGATTCGATAATGTGTCAAAAGTGGGCACATGAGAATTGTACAGGTGGAAGTAACTCTTAACGACTACATCTGTGATTTTTGTTCCTATAAGTAGTCTGTCTATATTTTCCGTGATTTGTTCGCAAATTTACCCCGTGTTGTCCGAATTTACCCCGTGGGCTGGGTAATTGCGGACAGGAAGGGTTTTGTTTTTTTGAAAAATTATATATATGTTGATTTATTTCTCATAATTAATAATGTTGATCTCTTACATAAATATGTAAAGTGTAATAATAAATAAATAAAGACTTATGATTAAAGTAACTTTCTGAATTATTGAGAGATTTCCTTTACTGTCCGTAATTCCCCCACTCTCCTTCCCTTCCCTACTTTAGATTTTGGCGGCGTCTTAATAACAAGAAAAAAGTAATTAACTTTTAACAAGCACGCACTGCACAATTCAATAATTAAATACCTACGAAAAATAATAGAAAGGAAAAATAATTTGGAAAAAGGTGATCTTTTACTGGGAAATGGCATTAAGGTTGATATTTACGCGTGCGCCTTTCGATTCGATACAAGTATTTTTCTTCCGATACCCAGTAAAAATAAAAAGGAATTCGATACTAAAAGTACACGGTATCGAAACAAAAGAATCGAGAACTTACTTGTATTTACCTCCCTTCGTATTACGTCTCTAGAGACGTGCCTACAGGCACGCCAAAACATTTCACCGAGTTGTTTCATGAATATTTTCAAAACATATTTTACAGTACTTTACTTCAATATTTTACTTCTACTGTATTGATCACAAATAATCTACATTTTCAGATTGTGCTATCATTCCTGTCGACAGGAGTTCTCGTGTTGTCCACATCCTCCGTTGGCCAGACTGGTTATACGCATTATCTACGCGCTTACGACACTCTATTTCGAATTGAAAATTATTTATGGAAGAATGGACACGAATTTGATCTATATGGAAAACACGTAATCTATATAATTTCTTTTATATACATATATTTCTTTGTGATATCAAATGACTGAACGAACAAGTTGTGACTTTATGAATACGCCTTCCCAAAACAATTGATGTGATCCTCTGTGGCCGGACCACCTATAAGTACTATATATGAAGAGGATGTATAGTGGAACCTTTACCTACATAAGTAAGTGAAAATGAAAAAAAAAATTGCGACAAGTATTTTTGATGTAGTTATAATTCCGTTCGGATAGAGATACTATTTTTTTAAAGAGAAGTATTAAATAATACAATTTAGGTAATTTTTTTGATGCTAAAGTTGTCAGATATGCCCGCCATTTTGACTCTCACAAATAATTACCTTTAGGTAAATTTTTTGGGAATATTGCTTTCTTGAAAGTGTATCACGTTTTTCTAAATCCAAGGTGGCGCGGCGGGAGACTACTGCTTTGCGGCCGGACCACCTAAGTAGTTAAACATTTCGTAATCTATCTAGGACTATCAATTTTGTTTTATGTCTAAGAAAGACTGTACTAATTATTTTGTATTGACCACAGAGGACCACACAAACGACTGTAGTGCCACTTTTTAAATTACAAAAATATGACATTGCCACTGCGCCCTTCACTTTAATATATAAACGTGTCAAGCCCAATGTGTCTGTAGTTTTACGAGTAGCCTTATCCTTCAAACTAGAAGACGTGATGCTGATATTACTGCTTGGTGACAGAAATGTTATAGTGGCAGTAGTTCCTTGAACGAATTGTTTCACAAGAAGCTCTACTGCTAACTACATTTATTTTGCTACCACCAGTGTGCTGATTTTATTCTCGAATTGTAGTCGTAGAAGAGTAGATTGTAGTCTCGAAATCAGATGGGTTTCTGAGCGAGAAAATGAACCTGATCCCTACTATATCTTTCTAAATTGTGAGTTATATCAACTATTGTTCCGATTAGAAATGACACAAGTTTCCTATCGGCCAGTTGTGAATCGCAATTATGCGCCTCGACTCGAATACTAGAGGGAATTCATTAGTTTAAGTTCTTCACTTATTATTATTATTTATTTACATAATTTTTATTATATCTATTTATGCACATTTCAGATACAAAGTTACATAGACATGTTTGATAACCTAGATAAATATTTTAACTCCGTGATTGAATCTTTACCTGAGTTACATAAATTAAATATAGACACAACTAAATTGGAAAGGGAAATGAAAATATTGAGATTATTCGCTAATCAGACGGATTTCCGAGATCGATTGGAAATGGGATTACGTTACAACGATTTCATTCAATCCATACGAAAGAAGGCCGAAGTAAGTAGTATCATATGTTTTAGCTGCGTCGGTGCTTTTTAAGAATAGGGTTCAAAGAAAAATAGTTAATTTTAGTACTTGTACACACTGTATCCTTCTTCTTCTTAAAGTGTCGATGCGTCTTTCATAAGCGAGTGGTTCAAAAATAGATCCTGTGAGTAGCGAGGGTTTTGAGCCACGAGATGCAAAACAACTTTGTTGCCGAGCGAAACTCGCAACTTTTCACTTCACTATAGTGAGGAAAATGGTAGATGAAAGAAAAACAGTTGAACTATAACAAATCAGTCTTAATAAACTAAATTAGTTACCGTCGTCAATTTAATGTCAACAATAATAAGATCAAAATATACCAACGGATTATATTAGGTAAATAATGTACGACAAATCACGTAGTTGAATGTGTCATTGTTTTTTTTTTCATCGAAAGAAAAAGTTAGGTGCACCACAATTCATCGTCAAGTACGAATTTCGAAAACCTTTTACACACTAGCGTGGAAAAAAGCTTCATTTGAAGATATCAGTCTCTTGTTGATGATATCATCAACATAGTTCTTTTCTAGCAGAACACAAGAGTATTACTATCTCTAAGACCTAGAGAGGTTGTTGATAAATAAATCTTCCAAATCTCTTTTTTAATATTTGGTATAAATCACACGCAGTCTTTAAAGGTGCCTACCGAATTCCTAGACAATGTCGATCGGGTGACTACAGATTTGCTCGACATTGTCGATCGTTACTGTCGGTTGGGTGCCTACAGATTTGCTCGATACTGTCGATCGACATGATGTGTTTTGAACATAGGTCGGAAAAAGTTATTCCAAATCTATAGATACATTTATAGATATAGCTACAAGGAGTATAACTACACAGACTTGTTAAAACCACCAAATTTTTTTGAAAATTTAATTCATTACTTTTTTCGAATTCCGGTTCCGGAAATGGTTTTATTACATCGTAGGACAAAGCTAGTACAACGTAACACGTAGTAGTTTTGTCCTACGATGTTGAACGACGCGACGTTGTTGTTAGTAGGGAATTCTGAACCGGGCATGTTTTCAAGAACCGGGAATTCCGGTACTAGTCTTCAATGGAACCGGAATTTCTCGGTACTTTCGGTACTTCCCGCACTAGCTAGTTGTTGTTCAATGGTGATACAATCAGTGAAATAGTTAGTAATATAGTAGTACATACTCGACGGGTTAAGAAAGCGATGGGTTTCAAAAGTACAAACGGTCAATATTGGAGCTTTTTTATTGAAAATAACGTAATAACCCTTACTCTTGGAAATTAAAATAAAAATATTTTAAAAAACTTTTACAAAGTAACAGAAAATTATACCTAAACCTCCTCTATTTTTTAAGACAACATCAATTTCAAACAAACGTTCTGGTCCGTAATTAACATCGAAATTACACTATAGATGCTGATTCCCAAAAATACCGAAATAACCGGGAAATAATTTTGGATTCCCGGATCTCTCATTACTATAAAAGAACCGGGATTTCCCGATTCTCAACCCCAAGCGGTTGTAATAATGACGAAGATGCTAATAATGCTGATGTAGCTGATGATGCTTATATACATATAATGCTAATAGTGTTGATGGTGCTAATGATTCTGCGAATGATGGTGCGAGTGGTGCTGATGATGCGGACGATGCTGATAGTGCTAATGATTCTAATAGTGTGAGTGGTGCTGATGATGCGGATGATGCTATTGGTGCTGATTCTGATGGTGCTGACGATGCTGATGATTATGCTAAGTGCACTTGTTATGTTGGTGGTGCTGATGATGCAGATGGTGCTTTTGATGCAGATGATACTGATAATTCTGACAGTGCTGATGATGACTGGTGGCCAGGCATGACTTCGATATTGGCATCAGCACCATCAGAGTCATTAGCACCATTTGCATCATAAGCACTATTTGTATAATCTGCACCATCAGTACCATCAGCACAACAAGTATCAAAGCACCATTAGCCCCATCAGCATAATTCGTATCGTCAGCACCACCAAAGTCATTGATGTCGGATGTGAATACGTCATTATCATCATTTTAGTAGCAGAGCCAGAGCAGTAAGAGCTTTATTCTTTATGAAAGAGTTCGTCCAGGGAAGTACTGCCTCCATACTTCTTTCTTCCGCCAAGCAGGTTTACTGTAATGAAAAGTCAGTTACCTATTGCATTTTTTTACATGGCACCACTAGGATTACTTTAAAATCCATCTTTGGCGTCGTAAAACCATTTCCGGAAATCCGGAATTCGAAAATAGTAATGAATTAAAATGTGGAGGTTTTAACAAATCTATATCACTCATTGTAGCTATATTTATTCACGTATCTATATGTGGAATACCTTTTTCCGGCCATTGGTTTTGAGATAGAAATTTTGCAGCATGTTTACTTGTAAAGCTGCAAGTACATCCAGATATAATTATATTATAGTGTACAGTACAGTGCATGTACTTGCAGCTTTACAAGTAAAACTGCGTCAAAATGTATGTCTCAAAACATCATATCGATCGACAAAATCGAGCAAATCTGTAGGCACCTGTCGTGTACAAATGAAATGTGGAACGAAGCGTGACTCGTGTTAGAATGTATAATATTTTTTTATACGTCAAAGAGGGTGTAACTTCACAATTAGATACAAAGAGCACATTTATTCGTTTAGTTCGTCTAATTTAGCTGAACATTTATTAGAAAAATCATAGTTTAACAGATACCCGCTCATATACGAAATCTTACGTTTTCCGAAATAAGATTACGTCTGCTGGGTGTTTTCAGAACAGATGGAAACAATTAAATACTTGAGACACTAGAAAAGTTTCACGACACAAAAAAAAAATTCATGGGTATAAATAATCTTTTAAGTTAATTTTTTTTCAAAGAATTCTCAACCACTGTCTACGCAGTGTCATACGTCTGAACCAATTTTTGAAACACTTTTTTACGGTCTCTTCGAAAGCTGCTAGCGCATCTTCCGCGATGAATACTGTAGGTATCCCTTTGAGTTGATTTTTAATTTTTGGAAATAGAAAGAAGTTACAGGGTACCTAATTAGGGCTGTAAGGAGGATGATCCATCCAGTTTAACCGGTATATTGTCCAGGAAGTTATTCGGTTTGGGCGCCGAGTGCGCGGGCACGTTATCACAGTGAAGCATTAGCTCGCGAATCTCCGTGTTCGGACGCTTGTTACTCACAACATTGAACATTTCCGGCAAACATTTGGCAGTATACTATTCGGTATTAATACTACTTTGATTTTGTAAACAAATTGATAGCAGATACCCAATAAAAATAAAAATAAACTTCCGATCAAAATCTTCCCTGCGCTTCTTAATCGTTTAATTTTGGTAGGCGTTTGTTCGATTTGAAACAGCCAAACCGTCGACTGGCGCTTCATTTCTGGATTGTATTGGTAAATCCAAGATTTTAAACTTAGATTGTTACTAAAACATATAGGTTATGTCCCTATCTATTGAAGTGCAGCGAGCGTCCGGGCGTCTCTGGTGGACCCGGACTTGGACGTGGTATGGACTCACTGAGGTTTGTGGTGAGCTGTAGAGTCGGACATGTTTGTCTGCACCGGTAGTGTGTGAGTGTGTGTTTCTCGTGCGCAGCTAGCTTAGTAGCGGTCAAGTTAAGGGCCAGATGCGAGGAGACGCGCAGGGCGCTTGAGTTGCCCTTTAAGTTAGAAGCTATATCCAGACATTGTCGCAGGACACTGCGACTGGCATTTCCGGTACTAATCTGAAGAGCTAGTAGAAGATAAGTTAGATAAGCTCCGGTCCCTCCAGTCGCTTTGGGGTCACCGCAACTGGCATCTCCGGCACTAGCCCGGAGGTTAGTAGAAGATAAGCAAGATATCCTCCGGTCCCTCTAGCCGCTTAAGTTATTGGGAACTGGAGAGATGCCGTTTTTCGGCGTCGGGAAGTGAGCGTGCCTTAGAACTCCGCCACCAACGAGGAGATTTTGTGCAAAATGTGCAACGGGAAGTGAGCGTGCCTACAGCTCCGGTACCTATCTGGAAAATAGGGATGTGTACGTGCATTCAAGGTGGCTCATCCGAGGCACTAGTCTCTCGAGAGCCGGATGAAGTCAAGTGACAGAGGTCTGTGACAACTCTGTACACTATACACTGGCTGATCTAAGGTCCGAACCCGAACTTATAAGATTCCTGTGCGCGCATAGGTTATAGTCCTCTGCGATGCTGCAACTATCAGTAGTAAAAGTGGAAAGCGCAAGCCGAAAAATCAAGTAGTAGGGTGGAATAGTCACGTTAGGCACGTACGGCAAACACGCTCATAGTGCGGCCAGGCAGAAGATTGAGGAATGAATGCTTCAGGGTAGACCTAACCATGGCATTATATTTGAGGAGATGTATGAAACTCGAAAGATCTTCAAATCTTGCCTTAAATGTTGTCAAGATCATCAAAGTCAAATCAAAATGAACATAATAGCTTCACAACATTCCAAAAAGGATTTTCGATCATTCTGGAAGTCTACGAATAATATGAAACTTCGGTCTGGCTGCCCTGCGAGCGTTGACGGCAAACATGATTTGAAAGATAGCCAACCTCTTTAAAGAATATTTTTTTGAAAAGTCACTTTTAGGACCATCCCAGGGGGCATGAACGTTGTTGAGACCAACAGTAAGCAGGTTGAACCTATGTACCAGTCTGTAGGGAGAGTCCCCACATAACCCCTGAGTCTCCAAGATTTCCCCCCTTCAAAAAAAAAAAAGGTTGAACCTATGTACACTGCTAAGGGTGTGGCAAAGACTACCAGGTCAATTTCTCGAGGTAAATCCCCAGGG